CGCGGGCGCGCTGGTGACGTCAGTGAGGCGCGACAGGCTTCGCCACCACGCTAAGGCGAGTGGGCGGGGCGCGGAGTGTTCGGGGGCGGGGCGGGACGCTAGATGGGAGAGGTCAGAGACCTTTGGATCTAACAGAGGAGTATCGATTCCTTAGGTTAAGCCATTTCCTGTACTAAATGATTGGATATACGTAAAGCCTTCGTAAGAGCGTTTGGCGCAGAGCAAGGGCTCTCATCATTAATTACTACATATCAGGCATGTGCCTTCTGGAAATAAGAAGTGAACTCAGCCCTCCAGTATCTCAATATCTACTACGGAAAAGAAAATGTAAATAATAGTCCCAAGTACCCTCAGCATCATTTAAAACGGTGTGGACACAGAGTTGTAGAAACTCGCTTGAAGGGGAAGACTGCACGTGGTGTCCCCTCTCTTTTCTTAATGTCCTACCGAGAGAGAGAGAGAGAGAGAGAGAGAGAGAGAGAGAGAGAAGCAAATAACTAATGCTATCTCTCTTTTAATAACACGATGCCTTCAACACGACAAAGCTGTTGTTTTTCTCATATTCCTCTCTGTGTCCACACCAGCACCTTGTCTGTGAATTTTAACCTAAGTGCCTCTGGCTCCAGAGGCGTTCCATTGAGATTCTGATAATGAGAATCTCAGACAGGCAGTAAGGATATGTTTTGGGCAGGCGACTCTCCTGTGAACTTTGGGTGACAGTACAGACATAAGTAGAACACAAAGAAAGCGGCCAGGTGCCAAGTGAGGCTATGTAAAGGACTTGAGTCCTGTTCTAGATGAATTCAACCTTTATCTAGGAATCTAGACAAACAAGGCAAACTTCTCTGTTTTTTTAAAAAATATATATTCTATTGATTTTCCACAGAGAGGAAGGGAGAGGGATAGAGAGTTAGAAACATCGATGTGAGAGGGTTGCATACATCTCCTGCACACCTCCTACTGGGGATGTGCCTGCGACCAAGGTACATGCCCTTGGCCAGAATCGAACCTGGGACCTTTCAGTCTGCAGGTTGATGCTGTATCCACTGGGCCAAACCGGTCAGGGCTTCTCTGGTTTTATGAACCTCAGAAAAAAAACAACCACAAAAGAACAGTTGCCGCTATTGGTGAGTACCCAGGAGCTGAGGGGGATAAAGAGATGCAAAATCAATGGAATTTTCACAGTTAAAGCAGGAAGCAGGTAAGTTGTGATAGAGGGAAGAGGATTAAAGTAGAGAGTTGAACTTGCACAAAATTAAGAAGGCAGGATCACCCAGTCTTAGGTTAATTACCTGAACTGTTTGATTAAACCAGAGACAATGAAAGGTAGGTATAGAGCATGGACAATTGAGAATTGATCAGGAAGTCAGCATGTTTTCAAGTACCACATATGTTGGTATAGAAACATCTATGAGGATCATCTATGGGGATGGGAGTGGGGGGGACAAACAACTGTTGCTATGTTTGGGATTTTAAAAATTACAGAATCTTACCTATATTTTAAAATTATCAGCTAGAACTGGATATTGCACTTTTTTTGGTGTTGTTGATAAGTCTCACTCAAGGACATTTTTTCCATTGATTTTTAGAGACTGGAAGGGAGCGGGAGAGATAGAGAAACACTGATGTGAGAGAGGCTCATCGATTCATTGATTGGTTGCCTCCCGCATGTGCCCCAACTGGAGCTGAGGATCCACCCTGCAACCCAGGTACATGCCCATGACTGGCAATCAAACCTGCGACCCTTTGGTGCATGGGCTGACGACATGCCAACGCTGGCCCAGGCTTTGGCACTGTTTAAGTTAAGGTAGCCCATCTTTCCTCACAGTCTCCTTCCACTTTCACCCAACCTAAAAAAATTTGGAGCAAGAGTAGTTGATGACAAGGTGAAGTATTAAATCAGACATGAAAAAATTGCAGCTATTCCTTAGCAAAAGTTGTCTGCAAATAATAAAAATGAAGGAACTTGGGACAGCATTACTACAACAAAGGAGAAACTAACAAGGGAATTAGGTGACAGATTACATAACATACTTTCTTTGGAAATACACTTCCCCTGCTTAGCACTTTAGCAAAAAGATTCCCAACAATAAGGGAATTATTAAGTTAGTAAAACAACTGAATTCACAGAGCTCCTGTTCTAGGGAGGAAATGACCACATTCTATCTTAATTCTAACACAACCCAGATGTGTTAAATGTTCTAAAGAGGCACAAATTGGTATGGAAACATCCTGAAGGAGAGAGAGGTCCCTGTTCCAATGTCAGCCTCACCTAGAAATTTGTTAGGAATGCAAATATTCAGGCGCCATGCTAGACCTACTGAATCAGTGTGTTTCACTAGCCCCGCAAGCAATGCTGATGCATGCTAAAGTCTGAACATCACTAATGTCACATGTTCATAACCAGTAGTGTGACTTCGAGGGGGTCTAAGGAAATGATATTGATTTTATATAAATATTCATGTTCCAAAGTATCTTTGCAGCCTAAGATGTGAGATGAAAATTTGAATACAACCTAAGTATCCAACAATAGGGGAATTATTTAGTGAGTCACATTGTAGTTATATGTCAGGATGCCAGCCACATCGACCATCCCTTGTGTGGGACACTGCTCAGCTCACAGTCTCTGGAGTTGTTTCATGTATACAGGGTGTCCCCCCAAAATTTATAGGCACTTTAACAGCTGGTTCTATAACATTTTGAAAATGAAATGTATTTTAACAAGCACTGCCTTTATAATTATTCAAAGTGTGTATACAGTTTTTTTTAACACCCTGTAGAAGCCCCCTCTCACCCTGGCTGGTGTGGCTCAGTTGGTGGTCATCATCGGGTGCACTGAAAGGTTATGGGTTCGATTCCCAGTCAGGGCACATGCCCAGGTTTCAGTTTTGATCCCCACTGGAGGTGAAGGGAGGCATGCAGCCGATTGATGTTACATTCTCAGATTGATGTTCCTCTAAAAAAATCAATAACTATTCTTAAAAAAGAAAAAGCCCCTTCTTCTACTACATGAACCTCCTTGCCAGGCCACAGCTGACTAGATGACGTATGCAGTCAATTCATAGGAAACCCACGAACACTGACGTGTGCCAGCCTAAAAGCTGGGAGCGTGGGATGACGGTGATCAGCTGCACTGATCAGAGTCTCCCTCTTGGCAGTTTGTGCCAGGAAGTAGAGAGCAGCCACCAGTCAGTAGAGAGGGGCTTGTAAAGTATGTTCTCCAAGTTCTGTTTGTGATGGTCTCACCTTGAAAGTAAGGAAAAGGCAGGAGGGAGAGAAGTTGCAGCGAGAGAAGGCATTCCCACAGAACATTGTTATCATGATCTCTTCCTGGAGAAAGAGAAGTAAAAACAACCAATGTCCAGAAGGTTTTTTACATTTTTATTTCAATTTCTTACGTAAGATAAAAGTTAAAGTAAACCTATGTATGATCTAGCAATCTCACTCCTAGGTATTTACCCAAGAAAAAATAAAATGTCCTTTTACAAAAACATGTGTAAAATTTATAGCAGCTTTATTCACAATAGGTCAAATTTTATCAACTGGTAAATAGATAAGCAAACCCGTGTATTCTTGCAATGGGATGCTAGTCAGCAATGGAGACGATGTGCCAAGAGAAGGGATACTGAGACAGTGTGTGGTGAGGCTCGTTAAGGTGGGGCGTGGGCGGGCATCCTGCTGAGGAGATCCTGCTGGGGTCCTGGAGCTGCTCTGGGTCCGAGTGAACTTGCTTTGGACCCTGAGAGCTGTCTCAATCCCTCACTTCTGCAGGGTCTAGTCATTTGCTTTTCTTTCCCCTTTAGTCTTATTTCTTTATGACCTGGTGGTCTCCTTATAATACACGTCCTATTACTTGAGGTAACTCAAGTGAGCATTGGTTCTTAAAACCAAAAGAGTGGAACAACACACATGGGGTGGTGCTTACGTTGGCAAAGGCAGAAAATCAGAGTAGCAAGTTGTACCTACGTTTGATCATCCATAGTTCATGGAATTTTTAAAAACAATGCACTGACGAAAAGTCTAGAAGGGAACACCTGAATCACTACCTAAGGTCCTTTCTCATTGGTAATCTTATGGTCATTTTTTTAATCTTCCTAATGCTTTAAATTTTTTCCCTCCTGATTATGGTTCACTTGTTCCTGCTTCTTTACACACCGGGTAACTATGGAGGCTATGCCAGGCATTCGGTGTAACATTGTTGGGTGCTGCAGGCTTTTTTATTCCTTTTTAAGTACTTTGTTGTGGGAGCCAATTAAGTCCCTTGGGAACAATTTGATCTTTTTGAGACTGTGTGCCCCCAACAGTCTTTTAGTTTAGGTAGCGCTCCCAGGGCAGCACTCCTCCGAGGGTTCTGTCCCATGCTCTGTGTGTTCGGGGTTCTTTCTGCTCAGGAGATACAGCTATTCTTGGCCGCACATGCAAGCTCGGGGATTTTTCTTCCTCTCAGTGGTTCTTTCCGGGGGTCTCTGTATATGTGTCCCTTGCTCAGCAATCCCTGGAAGGCTGGAGGGGACCCTCTGCTATGGTTCTTGTCCCCTGACTCACGGCCCTGCAGATCCCAGCTACCTCGATCTTTGTCTCCTCAGCCCATGGAGACCTCTGGGTTCTGTTCAGACTCCGCCTCCGGGGCTGCCGCCTGGAAACCCTCTCCAGAAGGAAAGAAGGGCACTGAGAGTTCATCTCATCTACGCCCCATCTCTCAGGGGTCACAGGTCTTCACTGCCTACTGCCAAGTGTCTGAAAACCACTATTTTGTATATTTTGTCCAGTGTCACAGTTGTTTAAAATGGCTGGGTAAACCCGATCCATTATCCCATTGTGGCCGGAAGCAGATGTTCCTAATACTTTCTGAATGTTTCCAAGTTTCTACAATTTGTGTACCAGCTGTGAATACGTAC